ATGCAGAGGGTAGGTTGAGAAGATTAAGCAAAGTAGCTACGAAGTGTCATGCCAAAGAACATTGAAAGTGAAAATATGCCATGTCTAATATGTGTCCAGTTCATGTGAAGTATACACAGAACGAAAACTGTCTAAATGCCATCTGCATATCAAATTGCATCGCATTAAGGTCAAAGCGTGCTCTGCACCTTGACATTCGATGCTCATTTTAACGTGAAAACTGCCAGCTACTTTAATCTCAAAATAAAACGATTACGTGTGCTTTCGACATCTAACGACAGAAGGGAAGACGTGTCGTAGACAATGATTGAATGGAGGATGAAGATTGTACATCTATTAACAAGAAGCTTTATAATATCCGAATAACGCGTGTTTTCTAAGAGGAGTAAATAGATACTTTCCGGGCAACTTTAAGGTTTCGGACCCACAACTAACTCCAGCAAGCCTGTGGACCAAGTCATACGTCTAGTGATGGTAGACGGGGTTTAACGGGCGGGCGAATCATAGGATGAAGAACAAGAAGATACAGAAAGTAAGCAGATTTCTTCCGAAAGCCTTGTTTTACGCTGCCATTTGGCAAATATAGTTGGCACGGTAATTAAAACCAAAAAAGTCAAATGCCTTAAAAATAACGGAATTTAAATAAAGCGCTGTTGGTAAGTATACATTTAGTCGGGAAGGTAAAACACGTTTAAGCGATTATAACGGTGGATAGTAAGTTATGCTTTGGGTCACACTGAGGTTGTACTATCGCAAAAAAGCAGATGTTTAAAACGCTAAAACTAGTAAAACATCGTCATACACGTCACTGAAAAGGAGGCTTAACCGCGACTTTAAGCAATGCAGACTACAAGGAGAGTACATTGTCGATTTCACTTGATTACTTGTATTCATTTATTCAGTGTTCTATAATCTCCAAGGGAAAACTTTATTTTCTGTTTCATTACAGGCGCCATGGGGTCTCCTTCGCTTGTATATGCCTAAGGACTCGATATATGTTTACTTGCAGAATGTTGTCGCATTAACTGAAGTTCACTATGTTTACGGCTCTGAACAAGCTCGAGGAACGGTACGATCTACTGGGCTGCAATTCACCAGCTTAACTGATGTCAAGAGCTTGCGGGACACAATGGAAGCACTGCACGTAATGAACATGTGGCGACAATCTGCTTTGTCCATACTCGAAGACCTTGCGGTGCAGGCCTTTTTAAATACTCCAGCAGTGTCGTGCATTCTATAATTTCATTTTGTGTTCTATGTTTGTCATGGCGGCTCAATACTACGATACTTCCCACCAAAACTTTATTTTACTTTCCGGCTATCTTGTCCAGAATTTGTTCACTGAGACAACATTCGGACGAGGATGCAATAGAAGACCCAGGATTGCAAATTAAACATTTCTGCCTATTGAATTCCGAAGCAGTAGCGTTACCTTACCAGCTGCTACAGAGGTGTCATCCGTTCGGTTATTGCAGTCCCAAACGCGAAAATTCCATGAAAGCGAGTGCTACGGGGTTTTGCTCCCCCAACGCCGTTAGGATCGATGTGCCTTCCTATACATTGCCATCCATCCCAGTAGTTTTGTCCCTCTATCCCCTGGGGTTCTATTTACCTTTCGACAAGTTGCCCGCAGTAACGCCCACAGGCACAACCGCGTTGCCTTTAATGGCTACGACAACGATACCATCCCTTAAGGAAGGTCTTTCGTAAACGGCAGGTTCTATGTATTTCCTACTTCCCTCTCTTAGTTTTGGTTTACCTTTCGATACGATGGCATCCATACCAGCGGTTTTATTCCCAACATTCTGTCAATACGCAGGCATCAACACAAGTCACAGGTTCAAAAGTGTTGCCTTTGGCGGGCAAGACATTGATGACATTCGTTAAATAACTCTATCTCCACAAAGAAATCTTTCATAAACGGCAAGTAGTAGAGATTTTCTGACCCGAAACCCCATTAGCTTCCGTTCAACTTTTGATAAGTGGCTATTCATAACGTTCACCGTCCTTGAGTTACCAGCTCGTTTGGTCGTTCAGTCATCGCAAAACAGCCAGACGGAAATCTTTCGTGAAGCGTTGTACTGGGGGTCAGCATCTTTGGAGAATTAAAGGCCGCAGATAAACATAAGGCGTTTGAACTGGTCTTCAGTAGGAGAACCGGGTATAAATCGTCCACAACGACGATTGACAACGTCCGTATACGTGATGAAAGGGGAGGATATATAATGCGGGCAAATTGAAACAGCTATGTTTAGAGCTTTCTTTTCCTTAATTCAGCCAATGACAATCCTGACGCCCGTCACACATACGGTGATTGTTTGCCTCGGAGCGCCAATATTTTAGTGTTTGCTTATTCCCGACCCAAATAGTCAAGAGTAACTTGGAATAAAAATATGAAAAATTACACATTTTGTGTTTAGTGGACCATGTTACTTACGAGTCTCGAATAGAAAAGGTAACCGAAATCAGCATATCATTCAGTTTTTCATTGCAACTTACCCTCATATCATTTTTGAGGTTGAGCGAATGCATAAGTTTTCCTTACATGCCACCTCAACGCGTAGTGCAGTTAGCATTTCGAGGTCGAATTCTGACATCGATTGGGAATAAAACGAGAGCTGTAGTAAATTCGAATGGAAGGAAAAATACGATTCCCCAATTTTTTAAGCAGTTACTAAATTCAGATTTTCCAGAAGACTATGTTTTACCAACTCGCTCCTAGTTTGACTTAGTCAGTGAGACTGAAGACGAGCGGGTCGCAATCCTAGACATTCTTTTGCTGACCAGATAAACAAGAATTCCCTTATTGCATAAATCCTAGATGAGTAGTGCGCATATCTAATACCTCGGTGCTGACAAATATAGGTGGACAGGGCCCTTTTATGGGGACCAATTTAAACAGTTGGTTTAAATACGCTTTCGAATGCTAATAGACGCACAAAAGTATTAAATCGGATGCGCGCATATATTGCGACAAAAACGTGTACGATATCGCCGCAATTTGAGGTCCTGATGCTTCATGAAGAGTAGAAAGGTGAAGCGGCCAGCTATGAGCATTATTAATGACACTTAAATACGGACAAATTCGGAAGTGCTCACCCCTCGCCACAGGGATGCCGTGAGCCAATTATTCTCACATCCGGTCACGCTCGGGCACGCAAGATATGTGTTGAAAGGACATTACGAGTGGGAAAACAGCAAATACACCATGTTTTCTGAATAGACCACATGGTAGTGTTTGCAAACGCATGCCGTCATCATGCAGACATGTTCTTCGAATTATCACTTTTTGACAGACTGGGACAAAAGTTGCTGAAATTTTTTTCAGCAGCATTTATTTAATCTTAGACTACATCCCGGAGCACAGAACAGCAAACTCACGAACACCTCCAAGGAGAACAATGTCGCGCATGACTTACCGCCGCGGCATTCAGTGAATTCGCGTACTTCTGTCTCGGGTGATCTTCAAAATGAAACCCACCCTACAAGGAAAACAACCAGTCATGCAAGTGAACGGACATCCGAAACGCATTGGTATCTGAGATCTTTTTTCAACACGTCCCAGACGATGATCAATCGTTATCGATCATTGATTTAAAGGTATAACGCGCGGGGCTTACTAGGATCCTAATGTCCACTTCCCAACTGAAAATTGTATTCAACTGCATGGAGCTTGTGTGAAAAGTGTCAATGCAACCTCCTGCAGTTTATTTGTTCGGGGAGCGATTTACCATGTAAACGGTCAGGTAAGCCGCCATTCGACGGGAATTTGGGTCTGTGCCGTTCAATGCAGTTCAGCAGCCATTGACCAATCATAGTCGGACATGCATTTTAGAGCGTTGAACTGGCAACCGCAGTATAAAGCCAGGACATGTGCATGACTATCAGAAATGCGTAGTCGGAGAAAAGTGACATGCGGCGGCCTAACCAACTTGGCCTCGACTTGCACTCGAGCGCTAGGAAACAGTACATGGTAAACAACCGTTCCTGGAGGTTGTATAGCAGGCTACATATTGTGATTTAGTTATCTGCTTTAAAAATGGATGAATCCGGCAAGTGTGTAACCGGAACTCCCAGCAAGGCTTTCCAGCACATCCAGTTTGTCAAGGGCACGTTTGCCTTTTAGTAGACTTAGAGGCAGTTCGCATACGGTTGCAGGTTTTCTGCTAACCAAAACATGCAAACATTACGCCTTCACAAGTAAGATGACACAAGCATCCTAGCAACTGAAGACATTCTCAGAAGTCGCTCCGTAGTTGGCAGTACATAAAACCAATTGGTCAAGGTCTCCCGCGTTAGTCTTTCAGCGCAGCATGCGAATACACTAAACCACCCACTAAAACTTTACTTCGTCACTGTTGCTACTTAAAAGCACCCGGTAGTTACATATGTTGTACTAGAAGTTTCTGTTTGGTTGCTAGTGTGGTGTGCCATGTAAAATATAAATTAGAGTCAGGGAAAATGCATTGCTCGCTGCATGTTCTGGGTGATCAGTGCTCGTTTATATGACACATAAATCTATATCACAACTCTTAGTAAGGGGTTGTACACAACTGGCTTAGAGAGATTCCTGGGTCATCGAGACAGGGGGCTAAGAGTGTTCAGTGATTATTCCTTGTAAAACTTTGTCGCAAGCCGCCAATTCCTGACAAGAAATCCATAAAAGGAAACAAGGCTTTTATTGCAAAGTCATGCAATACAGAACTGTCCAGGCCAGTCTAAAACACAACATGTAGCTATAGGATGCATGTCATCACCGGAGCATTTAAAAATGCTTGGACCGCAAGGTTTTCGAGAATTGACAGAGCAGATCGTCTCCATGCATTCATTACGCGCAGTGATTCCATGACATGTTGCAATCTCTTGATGTCAGTCAAGCTGGTGAACTGCAGCCCTGTAGCTCGAAGGGTGCCTCGATTTCTTCCGACGCCGACAAAGAAGTGTATTTCTGCTTCTGCAACAACATTCTGCAGATCAAGGTAAATTCGGTCTCTCGTCAGCTACACGCGATGGAATCCCGGTTTTGCCTGGAATGGAACAAAGGCCAAATTCCCCGATTGATAAGCATAAAACAACCAACATACGTTTAGACACGTATTCAATCGAAAACGGCTGTATCCATTTCGTTCTATTCAGTCCAATAACTGAGTGCGCATTATGATCACTTACACTGACAACTATCCCGATTAGTGCATGTAGTGCGAAAGAAAACTACTTATCAATTATGTCATAGGTAAGATGATGCTAGTCGGTTTTATATAAAAGATAATTAAAACCAGCCTCGAAGAAGTCTGGTACAAATATGTACCGACTTTCAACAGGCGAATACTTCTGAACGGCATACTAATATGACAAGTGTTTAGGAGAGCTCGACAGTCACATCTATTGATGCAAACCGTTAGCTACACAGCAAGGTGAAGCAGAAACAGTGACTTGTGAAGCACCTACCACACTCCCTACTTTTCCCCACCTAGGTCCGGTGTCAAGACAGAGTCCTGGATTCAGGCCGCCGCAAGGACGTCAGTGGATGGCGCGGCCGAACCCGCACCATGTCGTTCCATTCCATTTCCATTAGTCCACAGCAAACACGACCATGATTTTGACCAACTACAACATGTATAAATGAGCAGTACTGCAAACGGTCCGTCTACCCAGCGGAAGCGTAAGCGCATTTTCCGTCAGAGAACTACCAACGCACAGCATTTTGCGAGGGCTAATGTCTGCTGATGGTGGCTTTGCAGACGCGCAGAAACCTTGGGACAAATGCATATACTAGACTGTTTACACAGGTGCCTGCCGGTTTTGCAACTTTTAAGTCAAGGAGGTCCTAATGGTTTTTTTTGACTTCTACCTCCCCCCCCTTCCCTAGTAAACAGGAGTTCCGGAGATACTGAATGTTACAACGCCTCGAAAACCTGTACATTCCTTCTTTTGACTGTGAACAGCGTGTCCTCGACGTATCTGACGCAGATCTTCGGGAGGGCGAGCCAACAACTAGATATTCGGGCATTTGCGTAACTCTTTCAAAAATTAGTCCAGACAAGGGCTTGTATATCGACGCCACCTTCTTTTGCTTGTAGAAGAAGGTCTGAATGCACGGTTCTAGAAACTCGATGATATGAACTCCTCTTAGCTGTCGGGTGGACATATCATATGTTTCCCTGAGAAGGCCGTTGATAATGTCGATGGCCGTTGTGGGGCGGTGGGGAGAATTGAATAATGAGATCACGACAGACGGCGCCACCACGGCTCTACCTCATAGGGGGGTTTGGGCCTAAAAAGCCTATGAAGACAAATAGCCCTATGCGAATTCGAGGTCATTCAGACTTGAATTTGTCTAAGACCGGGCTAATGAAGGTAAATAGTTCCAAACTGGCCATCTCAGGCATCGTCTGCACAAACGTGTATGGTTTAAATGAATTGCATACACTTTGGCAATAGCTGGAACCGTCAAAAAAATGTCTCACTGTTTTAAATTTAGCGTCTATGCTAAATTTATTTTGTAACAACATTAACCTGCAATGAAATCACTGCGAGCCTTCAGTTAATAAAAGGTTTTCGTGTAATAGTTTAATATGCATACCATGTGATAAATTTCAAATTCGACACTAGAGAACGTCAGGTTGCATGCCATCCTGAAGTACCTTGCCTCCACCACGTGATCAACATAGAAGCATTGGTGTACTTGTGGATTGGCTGATGTCCTCATGAGAAGTTGAGTCCTGCTTCTTTGGGCATACACCATGTAGGCACTGAATTCACGAGAACCTTTGAATCGTTTCTGAACGAATTGGTGCGGGTGGAATCCTTTGTCAGAACCCGGGCAGCGCAACTCGACTTTGATACATACAATGTAAACAGCCATTCCCCATAAGTTATTGTAGGTATTAACGGATTTTTCGCAAATACTTACAGATTTCAAGTTAGTCTGATATAGTTACGGTGTCCTATATATTCCAGGATTATGTTGCGATGCGTCTAATGAGAAGCAGACATGATCGCTGAAACAGTAATTTCCCGAGGCAAGTGCATTTTGTCAAGATCGAAACGCGTCAGCATGGGGAGCAAACGCATCCATAATCAGTGGCAATAACTACTTTGACAAGTACTTGACACTACATAGGTGTTTCAACAGATTGTAAATAATTCATATTGACCTAACTGCGAAAAACAGAGCGACCTGGTGGGATTCGCACTGTCCACAGTAAGAGAAAGGCTGGGGTACAGTCAACTCTGTAGCCAACCGAGGTACGAGATCCCATCTTTGGGCATGAGTTGAATGATATTTTGGTCAAGTTGCCCGCGAAACCTACTGAAAGCTCTGGAATCCACCGAAGCTGACACCGTAAGTTGAATGCACAAGAAGGATTACCCAAAAATCCACCTAGAATCCATTACATGTTTACCAGGCACCTGGTGGGGTTTCGTTGGCCAGGTGGCTAGAGCGTTGGCTGTTATAAAAGCCCTTTTCTTGCCGTCATGGGTTAAAATCCCACTGAGGCGACGAGTTTTCACAGGTGTGTCAATATTAATTATGTGAGCCTCGCAGTCATCTAGTGTATTCTAGGTGGATTACTTACAAAATTATGCTTAGACAGTCAACTACCGGTATCAAATTTGGGGAGTTTCATACGTAGCAGTAGTTTGGACGGGTGGATTGACCCAAACGTAATTAAACTCATGTCTTCCAATGCGGCCACATAGATCGGGTGGCCAGAGCGTTGGCTGTACTAAAGCCGCCTCCTTGCTGTAGTCTGTTCGAATCCCAACGTAGCACCGAGATTCTTTTACAGTTGGGTCAATATGTATTACTTGACCGCTTGCCCCCTTATATCTGTTTCAGCATATGCCCGTAAAACAGACCATACGGTAGATGCGCGAGCACTGGAACCAGTTGCAAGCCCGGTTGTCGGTTCTCTTCGCGCCAACTGGGGTCTGTGACATTCCTTGTTGTTGTAGCAATACATCTTCTATCTGCGAATGTCTCTGATGATGGATTCGAGTGAGCATCGGAAACGTCAGCCAATAAAATTCTTGTTCCAGTGATCGCATCTTCGTCTTCTGAAATCCTGCTCAGTGTACGTTGTGCACCAGAAAGTGTTGTGTTAAGCCTATGTGCGGTTTTCGCCGTGCTAGCCACCTGCGACTCACCCACCTCCGATCTTCTTGAGAAATTTTTGACACCGGACCATGGTGGGGGAGACGGAGACAGTGCGGCAGATTTTGCGCACGTCTAAAATCAATCTAAAATAATTTCACGCGCAGTTCGCCCACCTTATTCCTACTGTGCTGTGGAGTACACAGCAGACATCATCGAAACGGCGGTCGATTGCTTCACCAAACAACTGGTGTTTCATAAGTGCAAACAAGAGTATTAGTTGAAGCAGGAGTGAAGCATCCACAGCTGACAGCACAAGCGTTTTTGGCGTACATGATGCGGTGAAACGTCATAGGTTATAGGGTGGCCAATCAGCACCCGTTACCTTGAATTTACACTGTCATGCACATGTGGACCAATCACTATTACTTGTTAGGGGGCAACATTTAGTGCAGTTCGGTTTCGAGCTCGTCGCAGGAATAATTGCCCTATTCATTTAAACTGAAAGCACCAAATTCTGATGCATTTTTATGTTGTTTACATAAACTAACAACGGTCCGGATGTATCATTCGAGCTACCTGATATTCATACGCCACCGTGATGTACGTTATGTTTACCAGGTCTAGACACGGATTGTCCATTAGTTAACCGTAGCATACGTACGCCATATTTGAAGCGACAACGGTAGAATTCAGTACCGTCTCAGGGAAGATCAACAATAAGGCGATAACTATGGTCCGCGGTATAGAGCATCGTCTCAGGTAAACAGACGACCGAACGTCACATCGATCCAGTTTCATACAGGCTGTAAGAAGGCGGTACTTTACTTTCTTTCCTCATTATGTATAACCTGCGTTGGTGATTGTCTCCATCGATTATTTAAATCCTGCTTACACGGCCATATTTCATGGTCATCCATTGAAACTACGCCCAGGGAATGCCAGCATTGATAGGCACAAGTTTTATTTCGGTGACAGAGCGGTTGCAGCAGGGAAGACCCTGTCGGTTTATGCTGTTCTGTCCCCAGGTGTGGACTGAACGCGTGCAGTTCACACTTCCACGTCAAACCCACAGTCACATACTTCCAACAGACCAATGATACGCTCGTTCTACTTATGATAAATAAGTAGGAAGTGTTTGCATCACTGCGTTCGTATGGGTGTTTTTTGTTGTTCGAGATTTTTATAACCAAATGGAAGCGCAGGGGTTTTTGTCCACAATTTCTTTAGTATAACAGAACACAAATTAGCTGGTATGACAAAGTATTGGAGGCAAAAACAGACAAGATAGCATTCAATTTGAACATAATGGGTTGCTGAATTTTTGCTGTGAGAGTCCCCATGTTGTCTGCTGCAGACTTACCTGTAGTTTCACGGGTTGCAGCAACAGGGGATTTTATGAACCACACCGCAAGAACGCACGGGCCCATTTGCCAGTTTTCTAACCAATTGTAAGTGGTGGAGTCTCCTGTCCATTACTTTTAACTGGCAGTTGCTTATGTGTGGTGTGACTTACTTGAGGAAGTATCAACGAAAGAGGAAACAAAAGGAAAGAAGCGTTTGCGAAGTTTGGGAAAGTGTTACTTACATAGAATATTTGAGTTCGCACTGAATGCATGCAGCAGCACGAAGATCGTCGACTGTATGATAACTTCTCCACACGACATGTCTTAGTTAACTGACGGTCAGCTGTCCGCTACTTAATTTATGCGCACATAACTAGACGACAGCCCTCACCCCGAGTAAACGCATATGTTGTTGCCAGAGGGCAGCATTGAGCGTATATTACAGGCGGCGCATTTTGCAGACAGATACCTCATGCCCAGCCAATCATCAAGACCCACGAAATAAAGTTACTTTCTGGACGAAGGAGACATGAACTTGTCGCAGCGATCGTGTCTCTTTCTACAAGACTGCTTCCCGGGACTCGTCTCTTCGGTTCTATTGGCAAAGTCACATTCCACAGTTCAGGTTAAAAATATATTTTGCTCGCAGTGCATATAAGACGCCTCCAGAGACGTTTTTTCGCCGAACATCATTTGAACAAACTACATTTTGTCTGATGACTAGTTTCCAGCTTATGAATATTTTGAGCACTCTCCTGATTATTTTGTGAATGTGACGCCATTTAGTTGAGCAAAAGGTGCGATATCACAGAAAAATCACCGTCGTGGGGAATACTTACTGCTTCATACATTTCTTGCCAGTATTTATAATATTAAATACTGAAAACGAATTTTCAGAAATCGTTTTAGAAAGGGGCTTCACATAATTGACTACTTTTTAATTCGCATGCATGAGCCCGATTTACGGCATTTTCCGTGGCGTGCGTCCCCACTGAGGGCATTTTTCCGCAGACATGAGACACTTAGGGGCCCAATTGGGCCCGCTTTTTACATTCGCCAGTCCATAAAATGACTTCACTGAGAAACGTCTGACGCTGTCTAATGAAGCTGACGTGGAGGCCGATTAAAACCACAGGTAAACAAACGAACGACATTCGCGTCGATAATCTGACGAAAGCGAAGTGCTCATCTGATCGAGGGAATTGTTTGACTGACTTTACGAAGAGCTTTGGCGGCTCTCCAGTATCAAACCGACCTTTGAAAAATTGATCATAATTTTCAATAGACAGTCGAATTAGTTGGCATTGTGTCGATCGATTTTTTTTCCTATCGCTGCCTTAGCCTAGTGGGACAATAAGAGTTTGAAATTGGTTTCTTATGACGCCCCCTTACTCTACAACCACACGGTTTTACGTTCTGTCGATTGGACATAAAGCGAACATGCCGCTTATGCAAATCGTTTCTCTACGTGACACTCCTATAAACGATTTAGCATAATGTATGTTTGCCCGTCTTAGGTTCGCCAACAACAGTGGCTTCTGCTAATCAGTTCCTGAAACAGAAACATGAGTCAGATGAATCCATGATATCTTTGGATGTCGTTTCACTATTTACCACCATTCCACAACAACTAGTGATTGATGTTGTGAGACAACTCCTGGCTGATCGCTACAACCAGGGAGACAATCCCCTGAAGACCGAACATCTCTTAGAGCTCTTACATTATTGCTTAAACACGCATTTCACCTTTATTGGACAAATGTATGAACAAATAAAAGGCAGCCCTATTGGCTCCCTCATTTAAAGGCTGACTGCTGAAGTGGTCCTTTAACGGATAGAACACTTGCTGTTCACCAAGTATCAACTAAAGTCATGGTCTCATTACGTCGATGACGTGGAAGACCTTAAAGAACCACTGAACTTGGTTGACCCGAATGTCTAATTCACGATGGAAGCTGAAACAAACAACAAACTTCTCTTCCTCGTTGTCCTTGTATGTCGGTGTGCGACTGGACAAATGCATAGCACCGTTTTCAGATACACCAGCAACACAAGACAAATAATACTCTTTACCAGCAATCACCCCTCTCACACAAACGCAGCTGTGTCCGTACACTATTTAAAAGAGTTAAAACACACTGCAACACACAGCCGACAAAAGAGTTGAACGACGATATCTTCATGAAGTCTTTCGAACCAATGCATACCCGTGCTACATCATCAAGCAGAGCAAGCGCCGAGTCAACAGACAACGGCCACACGAAGAACAACCTGCATTCTGGAGGACTAGTCCTTACATTAAAGGAGCCTCCGAGGGGGTTTCACGACTGTTACAACCCGTCAGGTTGAGCATTGCCAATCGACCGCAGGCAACAATTAATCGTCGTTTGATGTAACCCAAAGACATACTGCAACTCACTG